TATATATAATATATTGCTGCTACTTAATGGTTGCTGAAGTGTCCATATTTCAGCATCAGTCAGTGCCTCACCACCATCTGTCATAAATGATGCAGTGTGAAGTGGTATTATGCCACAACGCTTCCTGGATTTTTTTCTTGTTTTATTTTTCTGTAAAAATGTTACTCAAAGTGCAGCTAATGCTTTTATGACTCCCGCTGAAAGCATTGACACAGAGAGGGAGACATTTGAAGAGTAAAATGTTTTGTTGCTGCAGAGTTGTGTTCAGACAGGGCAAACACTTCCTAAAGCAACTACTTTGCAAAATACATTTATAACGCAATGGCCTCTTTTCATCTAAATAAAGCATTCCAGCGCTGTTCCTGTAAACTCAAACAGAGCAACTGCTTTCCTGTGACTAATATTCGGCTGCAGATTTTACATAGCTGCGCTGAATGTAGTCCATTATTCCCCATTAGTGACCTATAGCCATCCTAATGAGCATTGTGTTTATGTGTGAATACCTTCGCAGGGACAGAAATGACCCCCAACTATGTCGACAACAGCTTCACCAACTGGACCATCTCTCCGTGGTGCACCTGCAAGGGCAGTGGGAACAACGAGGAGGAATGTATCAACTTCCTGCGGCTCTTCACCGACAACACGTGCCTAAGTGAGCCGGCCTGACACGTGCATTACTCTGCATACATCTGAAATGTAATTTGCAACTGATAGGACTCCAGCAGTCATGTAATATTGATGAGAGCAAAAGTGTGTTTTGCAGTAGTTACTCTTGCTAACATGCCACTGCAGTCTGAGCCATGAACTTCAGGCTAATGCAACTTTAATGGTTTCATGTCAGATTCTGCTTTCCAGAGAAGTTTAGCTCTTCAGCAAGATATTTGCTGATATTACACAGAAGTGGATAGCGGAGAGGAGTGGTGGTGGGGTGATGATGATGTTTGAGGAGTAGAGTGTAGTTTAAAAAAATCATTAAAACTTTTTTTAGGTTACATGGCTTTAAAAAAAAAGAAAAAAAAAGAATTAATGCAAAATAAAAAAGAGAAAATAATTTTTTTTCCAAAAGAAAAAATAAACACACACGCACACGCGCGCGCGCACACACACACGCACACG